GATCACCTGACGTCAGGAGTTCAAGACCAGCCTGACCAACATGGAGAAACCCTGTCTCTACTAAAAATACAAAATTAGCTGGGTGTGGTGGCGCATGCCTGTAATCCCAGCTACCAGGGAGGGTGAGGCAGGAGAATCGCTTGATCCTGGGAGGCAGAGGTTGTGGTGAGCCATTGTACTCCAGTCTGGGCAACAAGAGCAAAACTCCATCTCAAAAAAAAAAAAGAACCTCGGTAACAACCTTAAGAATTCTGTGAAAAAGAGGGAGGGAACAGAGACACGTGAAAAGAAAACTGGTTGGATAACTTCCTGCAGATACTATTTAGGGATATTAGTGCCTGCTAGGCGTCCATTCTAGCTTGAAGCAGTAATTCCCAGACTGGCAACCTCCCTGAGGCTATTATCACACCCATGCCAAAGATAAAGGCGCTGGGGCCCTGAGGGAGGCCATGCTGAGCTCTTTGATGCCAAATAGAGATGCTTTCCTCTGATGCCTGCTGAGACAGACTTTCCAGAAGTTGTTCTCCCTCACCTCTCACTTGGGTGCCCCTTCATTACCTCTGCTCAGGGGAACTCTGCTCTCAGGGTGCCTGCTCCTGGCTTCCCCAGCTCCCCTGGGCCTTCTTACTTAATCACCTCCCCTTTACTTCTCTCTTTTGGGCACCCTGAGGAGTGCCAACCTAGCATGACTATTTGAAAACTCGGCAGCACACATACTAAAAAAAAATTGGAATGATACAGAGAAGATCAGCATGGGCCCTGCACAAGGATGACATGCAAATTCGTGAAATGTTCCATATTTATAATATTTTTTTTACATATATTTAAAAACAAAATATGGCCAGGTGCGGTGGCTCACGCCTGTAATCTCAGCACTTTGGGAGGTCGAGGCTGGAGGATCACAAGGTCAGGAGATTTTTTTTTTTTTTTTTTTTTTTTTTTTGAGACGGAGTCTCGCTCTGTCACCCAGGCTGGAGTGCAGTGGCCAGATCTCAGCTCACTGCAAGCTCCGCCTCCCGGGTTCACGCCATTCTCCTGCCTCAGCCTCCCGAGTAGCTGGGACTACAGGCGCCTGCCACCTCGCCTGGCTAAGTTTTTGTATTTTTAGTAGAGACGGGGTTTCACTGTGTTAGCCAGGATGGTCTCGATCTCCTGACCTCGTGATCCGCCCGTCTCGGCCTCCCAAAGTGCTGGGATTACAGGCTTGAGCCACCGCGCCCGGCCGAGGTCAGGAGATTAAGACCATCCTGGATAACACGGTGAGATTCCACCTCTACTAAAACTACAAAAGATTAGCTGGGCGTGGTGGCACGAGCCTGTAATCCCAGCTAATCGGAAGGCTGAGGCAGGAGAATTGCTTAAACCCAGGAGGTAAAGGTTGCAGTGAGCCGAGATCATGCCACTACACTCCAGCCTGGGTGACAGAGCAAGACTCCGTCTCAAAAATAAAACAAAATAAAATAATATAATATAAAATAGGCCGGGCGCGGTGGCTCATGCCTGTAATCCCATCACTTTGGGAGGCCGAGGCAGGTGGATCACCTGACGTCAGGAGTTCGAGACCAGCCTGGCCAACATGGTAAAACCCTGCCTCTACTAAAAATACAAAAAAAATTAGCCGGGCGTGGTAGTGCACGCCTGTAATCCCAGCTACTCGGGAGGCTGAGGCAGGAGGATCACGTGAATCCAGGAGGCAGAGGTTGCAGTGAGCCGAGATTGTGCCAGTGCACTCCAGCCAGGGCAAAAAAAGTGAGACTCCTTCTAAAAAAAAATTTTTTTTAATCATTTTTAAAAAGCAACGGAATAACAAAACACAAAATTTAGAATAGTGGCTATCTCTGGGGTCAAAGAACATACAGGGGACCTAAATGACATTACTAATGTTCCATTTCTTTTTTTTTATTATTATTTATTTATTTATTTATTTTGAGAAGGAGTCTTGCTCTAGCGCCTGGCTGGAGTGCAGTGGCACACTCTTGGCTCATTACAACCTCTGCCTCCCGGGTTCAAATGATTCTCCTGCCTCAGCCTCCAGAGTAGCTGGGAGTACAGGCACTCACCACCACACCCAGCTAATTTTTATATTTTTGGTAGAGACAGGGTTTCACCATGTTGGCCAGGCTGGTCTTGAACTCCTGGCCTCAGGTGATCCACCTGCCTCAACCTCCCAAAGTGCTGGGATTACAGGCATGAACCACCACACCCGGCCTCCATTTCTTTTTCTTTCTTTCTTTTTTTTAAACTTTCCATTTCTTTTTTTTTTTTTTTTTTTTTTTTTTTACTCTTGTTGCCCAAGCTGGAGAGAAATGGCGTGATCTTGGCTCACTGCTACCTCTGGCTTCCAGGTTCAAGCAATTCTCCTGCGTTAGCCTCCTGAGTAGCTGGGATTACAGGTACGTGCCACCACACCTGGCTAATTTTTTATATTTTTAGTAGAGACCGGGTTTCACCATGTTGGTCAGGCTGGTCTCAAACTCCTGACCTAATGTGATCCACCCATCTCTGCCTCTCAAAGTGATGGGATTACAGGCGTGAGCCACAATGCCCAGCCCCATTTCTTCTTTTGAGACAGGTCTTTCTTTACTCCCAGGCTGGAGGGCACCGGTACAATCATAGCTCATTGTAGCCTTAACCTCCTGGGCTCAAGTGACCCTCCCACCTGAGTCTCCCAAGTAGCTGGGATGGGACTACAAGCATGTGCCATCACATCTGGCTAATTTTTTATTTATTACAGAGAATGGGGTCTCCCCCACGTTGCCCAAGCTGTTCTGGAACTCCTGGGCTCAAGCAATCCTCCTGCCTCAGCCTCCCAAAGTGCTGGGATTACTGATGTGAGTCACTGAGCCTGGACTCTAGGGTTCCATTTCTTTTTTTTGGAGATGGTGTCTTGCTCTGTCGTCCAGGCTGGAGTGCAGTGGCGCGATCTCGGCTCACTGCAAGCTCCACCTCCCGGGTTCAAGTGATTCTCCTGCCTCAGCCTCCTGAGTAGCTGGGACTACAGGCGCCTGCCACCACGCCCGGCTAATTTTTATATTTTTAGTAGAGACGGGGTTTCACCATGTTGGTCAGGCTGGTCTTGAACTCCTGACCTCATGATCCGCCCACCTCGGCCTCCCAAAGTGCTGGGATTACAGACGTGAGCCACCGAGCCCAGCCTAGTGTTCCATTTCTTAAGCGAAATGTGGGTACACAGACATTTATATACACTTCATGTGGTCTCTGGTGTACGTGAAATATTAAGTGATACACAAACACCAAAACCTTATGATCTGTTATGAGGAGGGACCATCCACCTAGATCCGCTTCTGCACTCATCTGGTATCTTACCTTCCCAGAGTTCCTTCTCCAACCCAGAAGTTCCCTATCTGGCTGGAGACCTTCTTTCATAAAGATCACTTTCTCAAGCTGACCAGTGGTTTTTACATACGTGTCACAAAGAGAATCAGTAATTCAAGCGAGTTACAGGTCATAGTAGATTCACTTTCCCTTGATGCTGGCCACCTGCAGACACCGTGCATGTGCTACCTACAGTGCTTCAAAGTGTGGTATTCTGATAGCTTTGGACAGTTATTCCCCACCTGCCCCCCACCAATAAACCTGCTCAACAAGCTTACAGCAAGTGAGAAATAATAACTAAATGCAATGCCCTTGTGCTGACTACAAGCAAATGTGAACCCCACAGCCTGCTAACAAAGCCTAAGGAGCTATGGAAACAGGGAAGGCATTTCGCAGCCTGTGAATTTTGAAAAAGATTTCAGGCCATCTCCAGTAATCATTAACATTGTAGCTACAATGTGAGGTCGAAGTGCCGGCTGAGAATGTGGTGCTGCAGCCTCCAAGAATCTTGCAACAGCAGCAGTCTGGGATCATGTTCTGCCTCTCATTTCCTGCTAGATTTACTGGTTCTGGCCACAGCAGAGTATCTTTATCTCTCTAACCATTTTAATGTAAAATAAGATTGTTTGGAGCCCTTTCAGGGCCACGCCTTAGAACTGCTCTGAAAGTAAGAGTACCAAGTGCCTGATTTCTTGGAGTCCTTAACAGCAGGAGATGTTGGCTGATTTAGCTGCTGAGTCATGGGGCTGGAGATAGTGGTTTTCAGTAGCCAAAAACGTTAGTGTATTGCTGGTGAAATCACAAACTCTGCTTGCAAAATTTTATTATTATTATTATCATTTTGCTGAATTTAATCCTAAAGTTCTTGCTTCTTACCCACTGGAAAGCAAATACTATGTACTTAGTAGGCCTTCACTTTTAACCAACGCCATGGAAACCTGCCAGTAGCTAAGAGGACAAAAACGCTAGGGGTTAAGAAAGAAAAGTAGTTTTTGCAGCGGACCAGAAGAAATAATTAAATTCAAGTACATATTTGAACATCTCTTTGCAAGGAAATGAGGAAAATCAGGAGATGTTTTAGTTCTCTTAGTGACCAGCAATAATGTTGAAAAATATAAAAGTCACCGTAACAGAAAACGAAGTGATCATTTCAGCCCTCCCTTGGAGTCGGGGGGATCTATTGCGGAGCTGAGTTTTAATGGCTATCAGTTCTCGATCAAAAAGGTGAAATCACTCCACCAACTCCTTCCATATTCCATGGAATATGACCCGTCTTGAACTTTGAGAAATTCCCCGGGTCTATGTGAAATTCCAGTTCCAAATAATTTACATGAATGGTTCACAAGAATCCAGGTAGGTTTAATCTAGTTCCCTAGATGGGACTGAGGGGGATGTGAAATTTCAGATGCAACATTAACATGGGCTAGAGAATGAATTAACACTGGGGAAGCATGTGGTGGCGCGCCAGACACCTAGGAGGCACTCAAGAAATAGGAGGTAGAATTAAAGGAAAGTGAACCTTCCTTTGGCTATCTCGGCCTGATTCTCACCGCAGCAAGGAGAAAGGGACAGGGTCACCTTGGCGGGTGCCAGGCGGAGCCCGGCCGGACGGGCGCGGCTGGGGGGCAGCGCGCAGGCGCAGGCGGCGCACGTGGCCCCGGAGGCGCACCGCTGCGGCCGGGCCCGCGACACAACGCCGGAGTGGGGCCGAGGCGCGTAGCCTCTCAACGACTCGACGCCAACGGGGTCTCCCGGATCGCGGCGCAGGACAAGAGGGGCGGGGCAGGAGGGCCGGGGCAGGCGCGGGCTGCCAAAGTCGTCAGCAAGGTCGAGGGCCGGACGCGCGGCCCCGGAGCGACGCTGAGTGCGTGCGGGACTCGCAGTACGTGACGGAGCCCCGAGCTCTCATGCCCGCCACGCCGCCCCGGGCTCTCACCCGGGGCCCCGGCTCCGCACACCTCAGTTCGGCTTACGGGTCCTATCTGGGGCTAGAGTTTCGCTCGCACCACCACAGGGCCGCTGGGTAGTCGGGGCACCCTAACTCCGCCCGCCTCACGTCCGCGGGTCGTCACCCCCCCTTTCCCGGCTGCAGCCGCCGCAGTCTCACCCCTTTCCGGGAGGTGAGAGCACGAGTGACGGCTTTCCCGACCAATGGCGAGGCGGCCCTGAGGAGGCGTGTCTGGAAGGCGGGAAGTGGGTGGGGCCCGCCTTAGCTGGGCAGGAAGTCCGAGTGCGGCGCGGACAGTAGGTGTGGGGAGCCGGAGCGCATAGACCTCGCAGACCTCGCCGGCTTCACACTCACCTCGGTGTCTGCTGCACCCGCCGCTTCTTCTCCTAGGCCACGAGACCCAGCGGCTAGGTAACGATTAGGGAAGGGCTGAGCAACGGGCAGGCGGCGCAGGGCTTTTCTGGGCTTGCGGGGCTCTTTCCCCTCAGAGGGAGGCTGCGCGCCAACAGGCCCGGCGTGGCGGGGTCGGGGGCGCGTGCGAGCCGACTCCCTGGGTGGGAAGTGGCACCCCCGCTCACCCCGAGGCCCGGGACGGGGGCACAATGCGAGGTGCACGTGCTGGGTCCCGATTTCTTTGGAGGGGAAAGTGCAGATCAACACGTGATTACAGACTGCGGGGCAGGATCACCGTCGGGGAAGGTCGGGAGCTGCACACGCGAGCCGCTTAGCACAGCGGGAGTTGGGAGTGGAAGTTGCTTTTCCATCGTAGCCAAGTGTAAGGTTTTTGGGATGGACGCAGACATAGCGGTGGTGCCCACTGAGGCCAGGCCCTCCCTAAAATGGAGGAGGGCGGCGAGAGAGGAGATGCCCACGAGGCTGCAACCCCCTCCCCCACCGGCAGCCCCCGCCTCTCGCCTGCACTCGCGGCCCGCGCTTCGGCCCAGTAAGCGGTGACTCATTTCGAGAAGGCACCTCTTCTTGAGGAATCTGCCGCAGAGCCGTTAGATCATTGGCAAGCCCTCCAGGCGACCTCGCCCAAGTTGGGCAAGAGCGGCTCCCCGGCTGGCCATCAGACGTCGGGCCCTGATCTGAGAAGGATTTCCTTTTTTTTTTTTTTGCTCTTGTTTCCCAGGCTGGAGTGCAATGGCCTGATCTCCTCGGCTCACTGCAACCTCCGCCTCCTGGGTTCAAGCGATTCGCCTACCTCAGCCTCCCGAGTAGCTGGGATTACAGGCATACGCCACCACGCCCGGCTAATTTTGTGTGTGTGTGTGTGTGTGTGTGTGTGTGTGTGTGTGTATATATATATATTTTTTTTTTTTAATTAGAGGCGGTGTTTCACCATGTTGGTCAGGCTGGTCTTCAACTCCCGACCTCAGGTGATCCGCCCGCTTCGGCCTCCCAAAGTGCTGGGATTACAGGCGTGAGCCACCGCACCCGGCCAAGAAGGATTTTTTTTTTTTTTTTTTTTTGAAACGGAGTCTCGCTCTTGCTCTGTCGCCCAGGCTGGAGTGCAGTGGCCGGATCTCAGCTCACTGCAAGCTCCGCCTCCCGGGTTCACGCCATTCTCCTGCCTCAGCCTCCGGAGTAGCTGGGACTACAGGCGCCCGCCACTTCGCCCGGCTAGTTTTTTGTATTTTTTAGTAGAGACGGGGTTTCACCGTGTTAGCCAGGATGGTCTCCATCTCCTGACCTCGTGATCCACCCGTCTCGGCCTCCCCCGGCTAGTTTTTCGTATTTTTTAGTAGAGACGGGGTTTCACCGTGTTAACCAGGATGGTCTCGATCTCCTGACCTCGCGATCCGCCCGTCTCGGCCTCCCAAAGTGCTGGGATTACAGGCTTGAGCCACCGCGCCTGGCCAACTTAAATATGTTTAAACAAATTTGCCTTTTTGGAACCTAATAGATAAAAACTAAGTACCTTTTTCTTGGCTAATGAATAAAACTCCATTGTTACGTAGACAACAAAGCCACAGAAGTGACTTCAGTAAATAATTTTGCAAGTTAAAAATCTGCCCAAACTTAGATGTCTTATTGGCTGCTCCTGGTGGCTCACCCCTATAATCATCCTAGCATGCTTTGGGAGGCCAAGGCAGGGGAGGATCACTTGAACCCAGGAGTTTGACACCAACCTGGGCAACATAGTGAGACCCCCATCTCTTAAAAAAGTAATTAAAATAAAGATGTTGTCATTAATGACATAACAATACTGAAGTCCGGAGTACTGTGAAATTGGAAAGTCCCAGGAAGTGGCGGTAGCCAAGATCTCATGGTCCAAGGACTTTATTATTCCTGACTTCCAAACTCAGAATTTCTGATTATTAAATACCTACTAAGTGAATATTGTGCTGCTACTTCAAATTTAATCAGAAGAATTATGTCCAAACTTAATTCGCTATTTTGTTTTAATTCTGCTACAAGCCAGATTTTCCCCTCATCCCCCCACCCTCTTTTTGGCCTCGCCCTAGGTGGTTTTGCTTGTGACCTTCATGTCTGTTCTTGGTTCCTTTCCATTCCCATGCCAGGCCTCATTGTTCACTCATGACAATAGCCAGTTTCAGACAGCTCTTTGGCTGCTCTGCATCCAGCAACACATTCATCTATTTGGATTTGATTCTCCCTGGGCATACACATTTGTGGGCTTTCTCTCCCTCTCTCTTTTTTTTTTTCCTTTTTGCTTACAGAACAAGACCTCAGTTGCTGTGGTTTAACCCATTTATGCCGGAGGTTGCGAATCTTTTTTGTGAAAAATCAGGCCTTGGTGATGACTTGAGCAGTCAGATAAAAATAACTCCACACACTTAGCGTTCCAGTAATGGAACACTAGGCATAAATAGGTTAAGGCCTTTCGGAGCTCGGCCCTAACTACTTACTTAGGAGAATTCCCACTGCTTTCCAGCAGGCTTTTTCCCCCACCCTAATCAACTTTCCTACATCCAGTATTTAGTCCAATGCCGATTGTTTGTAGTCCATGAACCTCAGAAGTGATTCCTTGAATGAGTGAGCAAATACAGCATTATGGCTTATGGAAAACATGAACTGTGTGTTTCTCCTACAGAAATTCACCATGTCTATTCTCAAGGTCCATGCCAGGGAGATCTTTGACTCTCGTGGGAATCCCACTGTTGAGGTTGATCTCTTCACCTCAAAAGGTATGTGCCACCTTCATTTCCAGAGTTGCTTCTACCTCGCTTCATTTTACAAATTTTCTACAAATGCTGGAGCCTTAGGCAAAAAAAAAAAAAAAATATATATATATATATATATATAAGCTTTTTTTGTATCTGCATATGCTAGTAGGTTGTGATTCCTGACTGTGAGGGTTGGGGGATTTTCAGGCATGGAGCCAGTGTCTTGCTGCTTCCTGGCTTTTTGTTTGTTTTTTGAGATGTCTTGCTCTGTCACCCAGGCTGGAGTGTGGTGGCATGATTTCAGCTCACTGCAACCTCCGCCTCCCGGGTTCAAGCAATTCTTCTGTCTCAGCCTCCCAAGTAGCTGGGACTACAGGCGTGCACCACCACGCCCGGCAATTTTTGCATTTTTGGTAGAGACGGGGTTTCACCATAGTGGTCAGGCTGGTCTCGAACTCCTGACCCCAGGTGATCCGCCCGCCTCAGCCTCCCAAAGTGCTGGGATTATAGGTGTGAGCCACCACGTCTGACCCTGCCAGCTTCTTGGCTTAAAACCACATAAGTTGACTCCTAAGTCAGTTGAGGTGATAGCTCACTGAAGTAAGGTATTACCATACTTTTCCCTCATGAAGTAAGGTGATACCATGAGGGAAAGAGATGAGGGGAGGGCCAGTAGACGTGAATGTAGCACCCTTATCTCTGTGTCTAGAAATCACTCTTTAGCAAGGATCAAGGACAGTTTTTACCTGTGGGCTCTGGAATAGTGCAGAGGCTCTCATTTTTGCTTGGCTGTCAGTCCCCATAGGAGGAGTTTTCTTATGAAAAAATAACAGAATGGTGAAACTCCTTCTTTTTTTTTTTTTTTTTTTTTGAGACGGAGTCTCGCTTTGCCGCCCAGGCTGGAGTGCAGTGGCCGGATCTCAGCTCACTGCAAGCTCCGCCTCCCGGGTTTCCGCCATTCTCCTGCCTCAGCCTCCCCAGTAGCTGGGACTACAGGCGCCGCCACCTCGCCCAGCTAGTTTTTTGTATTTTTAGTAGAGACGGGGTTTCACCATGTTAGCCAGGATGGTCTCGATCTCCCGACCTCGTGATCCGCCCGTCTCGGCCTCCCAAAGTGCTGGGATTACAGGCTTGAGCCACCGCGCCCGGCCTAAACTCCTTCTTTTAAGAAGAAAATCCAGTGCCTCTGTAGCCCTGTGTTACTTTCAGCACATGGTGCGATGGACAGAGTGGGTGAGGTTGGCAAAGGAGCTTCAGGCAGAATCACTCAGTGGTGCTAAACTCCCAGAGAACTGCCAGTCGGAGCTGAGTCATCGTCTGTGAGTCACAGGCCTGGCAGTGGAACCCCAGCCCTTCCCTTCCCCTTGCACCTCCCCTACCCCTCAGGAAGAAAGGATCCTTGAGGCCCGACTTCATTGGGCTTCTGAAGAATGCCTGTGTTCTGCCTTTGGCTGCTTGCTGTGTGGGCTCTCAAGCACAGTGGGTTTTCTCCAGGACACTCGCTTTATGGGGAATCCTGAGGGCTCTCACAGGATGCTGAGAATTCCCTTCATCCAATAAGATTGGTTTGCTTAGTGAATGGGTGGAACTTTCTGCTTAGAAATTAATGAACTTTTTTTTTTTTTTTTTTTTTTTGAGAGGGAGTCTCGCTCTGTCGCCCAGGCTGGGGTGCAGTGGCCGGATCTCAGCTCACTGCAAGCTCCGCCTCCTGGGTTTACGTCATTCTCCTGCCTCAGCCTCCCGAGTAGCTGGGACTACAGGCGCCCGCCACCTCGCCCGGCTAGTTGTTTTTTGTATTTTTTAGTAGAGATGGGGTTTCACCATGTTAGCCAGGATGGTCTCGATCTCCTGACCTCGTGATCCGCCCGTCTCGGCCTCCCAAAGTGCTGGGATTACAGGCTTGAGCCACCGCACCCGGCCTAATGAACTTTAAAGCAACAAAAGACCCCAGACGCTAAAAGATTGTTGGGAGGCGGACATTTTGAAATTGAAATGAATGGAACTTTCTTACATTTATTAAACTGCATTTTATTATGTTTATTCCTTCCCCCCACATCTATCCTGTTTGCCAGTTTCCAGTTGGGCATAGAACTCCCAAAATAGGATTTAGCATTGTCCAAACTGAAGCAAATGAGCTAGATACTCTTCCTGAACCAGTTAAATTCCCTTGATTTTATGCTTAACATCAATATAGTACCTGCCTGGGTGTGATGCTCACGCCTGTAAACCCAGCATTTTGGGAGACCGAGATGGGCAGATACTTGAGGTCAGGAGTTCAAGACCAGCCTGGCCAACATGGTGAAACGCTGTCTCTACTGAAAATACAAAAATTAGCCGGGCGTGGTGGCATGCTCCTATAATCCCAGCTACTGGGGAGGCTGATGAAGGAGAATTGCTTGAACCCAGGAGATGGAGGTTGCAGTAAGCCGAGATCACCCCATGCACTCCAGCCTGGGGGATACAGCGAGACTCTAAAAAAAAAAAAAAATACCAGAACATCTTCAGTTCCCTGTGTGCCTTGCATTGGATTTCTCTTGGGCAGTGCTGCTGGGGTAATCCACAGGGCACCAACGCGAGCTTGTGAGGTACACATATTTTCCTGGGTCGGAATCTACATTTTAACAAGACCCCCAGCTGGCATGTAGGCTCTGCTATAGAGCACTTTCTTTCTGCTAGAGGAATCAGTCATCTTTGCAGTAAAGTCTGCAGTACAGGATCATAAATATGTGAGAGGCACGAAGAACAGACCAGAGTGTTTAATTCACGCAGGTGGTAGGAGGAAGAAACAGCTCCCTGATGACAAATGCATTTGTGGGCGGGAGGGGACTTGGGATTGTGCTGGAACTGGATTTCTGAATTGCTACTATGACTTTTTTTCTTCTCATCCAGGTCTCTTCAGAGCTGCTGTGCCCAGTGGTGCTTCAACTGGTATCTATGAGGCCCTAGAACTCCGGGACAATGATAAGACTCGCTATATGGGGAAGGGTAAGCCTTAGAACCCACAGCCCATGGCCTCCCTGCCTCCAGCCCCACTCCTGGCCTTGCCCAGTCCTGTCCTTCTCTCTGGGTGGGGCTTGCATTTGCAGGTTTATGGCAGGTAAACCTACCGTAACCCATGATGTTGATGGAAGCAGTGCACCACCACGTGGACAGGAAAGTTGGTGTGTGGATTACAGGGTTCCTGAGCCTGCATGCTCTGGGTCGAGAGTTTCAATGCTTGTTTCTATTGCAGTTTGTCCCCAGTCTGTGAAATACTCCTTCATGATTAGGACAGGAACCCAAGGATGAGAACAGGGCCTGTTAACTAAAGAAAAGTTTCCCCATCTCCCAGGGGGTTTCTGTGGGCCCTTCAGATCATCAGCCTCTTCAACGGCAAGAAAGTATCCAGGGAAGGTCTAGCCAATGGCTTACCCTTAATGGTGAGCTGCAGATGTGTCATTTAGTCTGATTTTCCTGTTGACTGACTCACAGGAGTCCTCTCTGTGGCAGAGCCAGCCTCTGGCTGTATTCAAATTGACTTAGTGTGTGTGCAACATTGACCTTTCTAGAGATAGAACATGTGGCCAAATTACAGAAAAGCACACAGGGCTAGATCACACATTCTCCGTGGGGGACCCGGAAAACTCCAGAGAGGCTGCAGGGGAGGGACAATGATGAAATCAGGTTGCGAAACACTGGGCTGGTGTCGCAGTGGTGGTGCTGGGTGTTCAGTCCTGCTTTAATGCTATAAGAAGCAGTGTCCACACACCAACATGTTACCATGTCACCGTTGTTTAATGGCCTGTGTGGGGACTTACCCAGAGCAGGATGGTGCTGTGCCTTGATGGTAATGAGTGCTCAGTAAGTCAGCATTTGTGGAAGATTGAACTCATGACCCCCTAAATGCTCTCCTCTGCTTTCCTGTTCCCTTGCTGTCTCTCACTCGCAGTCCTTAATCACTGGTTCTCTTCTGAGTCTCTCTCATTTTTCCTTCTTCATCCTCCTCTGCTGGGCAGGCGTCTCCAGACCTGTTAAGTATATTAATGAGTTCCTGGCACCAGCCCTGTGCACTCAGGTAACTGATTGGACAGCCTTTAGTCTGCGGCTGGTGTTTCCAGTGCATGGTCTTGCAAACTAACCGGTCAGATCGCTCTGAGCCAGCTGCTGTTTGTGTGGCTCTAACCCTCTGGGGTCCTAGGTAGGAGCACTCAGACTAGGCCGGAAAGTCCTCCGATTCTGGGGGGAAGGGGAGAGGGGTAAGAGGTCCCATGGAAGGTCCCTTGGTGGGCTTCCGGGTCAGCCTTAACAGTGGCTCTCTCTAGCAATGCTGCTCAAGCCTGGTTTTAAAATTAATGTCAAGTAATTTGATTTGATTGTTCCTTCTAGGTGTCTCAAAGGCTGTTGAGCACATCAATAAAACTATTGCGCCTGCCCTGGTTAGCAAGGTAGGACCTGCCTCCTGATAACTAATGTGTCTAATGCCACCAGAGCGTCTCCCAATCCCAGGGGCTTTCCTGTTTATGGAAGAGCTTATTCTGAGAGCTACAGAAGCCGATTGGATTCCCTGTCATGCATGAGAACAATCCGTGCATGACATAAGTCTAACCTGCCTGCTGCCTCACAGTCCACTTCTGGGAGCAGATGGAATTGCATCAGAAGAGTGAGACACTTAGAGCCCTGAGGTTTTTCGCCTCTGCAACTCTCTGGACCTTTGGGGAAATTAAGATCCAGATTTTAAGAGTGCTTTCTCAGGGGTGTTTGTGGTAGTGTCCACGGTGACTAATTTCTCATGGATGTTGGAATTATTTACTATAGTTCTACTGACTTTAGCAGTGGAGTTCCTTCCTGTTAAGTAAAATCATCCTGGAAACCTCAATATGTCAAACATAAAAGTAGAGCTGCTGGAGGTGAAGTAGGGCTGGGGACCTAGCAACCCACCTGACTCAGCAGGTTTTTATTATCATTTACCCTCCCTTCGGCCCGTCCCTCCGTAATTCCTGTGGCACTCATCAGATGGGACTGGTTTGAAAAGCCCTGTCTAAAAATGCTCTGGGCGAGGTACAGTGACTCACACCTGTAATCCAAGCACTTTGGGAAGCCGAGGTGTGTGGATTACTTGAGGTCTGGAGTTGGAGACCAGTCTAGCCAACATGGTGAAACCCCATCTCTACTATAAGTACAAAAATTAGCCCGGCGTGGTGGCGCACCCCTGTAGTCCCAGCTACTTGGGAGGCTGAGACATGAGAAACACTTGAAGCTGGGAGGCGGAGGTTGCAGTGAGCAGAGATTGCGCCACTGCACTGCAGCCTGGGCAACAGAGTGAGACTCTGTCTCAAAAAATAAAAATAACAAAACTCTCTAGGCCCAGTCCAAGCCCAGCCACAGCCTCCACCTGTTCTTGAATCTAGTTCCTCACCTCCATGAATTCATTCTGTACAGGGAAAAGGAGGAGCTCCTTTGTTGTCTCTGTCCCCCACTTGTTGGTTTAAGCCTGGGTTTTGTGGCACTCTGTAATTACTCCCTGCCTGACCGGCCCCCAGACGAAATTTCTTGTTACTGTTTTGCCTGCAACACCCTCTGCCAGTCTCCTGGAAACTCCACATATACCTTGTTCTCTGTCCCTTCATATCCCTACATAGTGTGACTCACATGATGAGCAGGACATCCCCCGGCATTTTCTTCCCCCTGGGAGAAACATACCATACCAAACTGTTGGTGAGAACTGGCCTCTGAGGCTGTGCCTGGGTAACTGCCTGCCTGTTCCAGCGATGCCTTGACAAAGCTGCAAAAGACACCAAGTTGCTAGCACAGCATGATGGGATCAAAGCTGATTTTCTTTGCATTTTTTTTTTATATCAAGAATATTATAGATAAAAATAATGCCTTGTTAATATATTAGTAAGTTTAAAATGGAATGCTGATTTTTGGTTGGGTGCAGTGGCTTACGCCGGTAATCCCAACACTTTAGATGGGCAGATTCCTTGAGGCCAGAAGTTTAAGACCAGCCTGGGCAACATGGCGAAGCCCATCTCTGCAAAAAAAAAAAAAAAAAAGTACAAAACTTAGCCAGGCATGGTGGCGCATGCCTATAGTCCCAGCTGAGGTTGCAGGATCATTTGAGCCCAGGAGGTGGAGGTTGCAGTGAGCTGAGATCGTGACACTGCATTCCTGCCTAGGCAACAGAGGGAGACTCTGTCTCAAAAAGTTAAAAAAAAAATTAAAAAGTAATGCTGGTTTTTATTGGATGACTTTTGAGCCAGTTCTTAGTACATCAGTTTTGTTACTTTAACTCATTTTGATCCATTATTAGACACTTGGCTAAGTGATTTCAGACTACCTGCAGAAATCATGCCTCCCATCAGAGGATGGAGATTTGCAATCTTTGAGGTTAGCCAAGAGTGAGCAGCAGAGCCCACCTTTCAAGGGCTCAGCCTGCTTGAGTGAACAATGAGCTTTGCTTATTTATTGCCCATGAAAGCCATGTTCCTTCGTAGCGGTGGTTTACATAGCACATACCTGACAATTCTCTTGGGTGTAAAGTCACTTTGGACTCCCTGGGTAGACCATTACCTTTGTGACACAAGCATTGTGTCTGAGAGCGTCCATCTCTGTTTCATTGTTGGGTGAATGAAACACCATCAAAGCAAGCAGAAGGCAGTTTTTTGTCTCACCATTGATTTTTGTCCTCCACTTTTTTTGCTTATAAAACAAACATCACAGAATTGATTTTTATTTTACATAGTTTCAAAGTCAGATTCCATGGTAGGGGAGCAAAGGCTGTGCAGATAAGAGTGACACCAACCCCTCATTCTCTCCTCTCCCTCTTAGAAACTGAACGTCACAGAACAAGAGAAGATTGACAAACTGATGATCGAGATGGACGGAACAGAAAATAAATGTGAGTGGCCCGAGGAGGCATCTTTACTGGGGAAGATCATGAAGTCTCCTAAAGACTTTAACAACTTTCAGGAAGAGGTCCATGATCTTAGTGACAAGCTAAATGAGCCTGTCGTCTCCTCCCATTTCTTTGCGTCACTCTTAAGAAATCACACTTTTGGCCAGGCGTGGTGGCTCACGCCTGTAATCCCAGCACTTAGAGAGGCCGAGATGGGCGGATCACGAGGTCAGGAGATCGAGACCATCCTGGCTAACATGATGAAACCCCGACTCTACTAAAAAATACAAAAAAACTAGCCGGGCGAGGTGACGGGCGCCTGTAGTCCTGGCTACTCAGGAGGCTGAGGCAAGAGAATGGCGTAAACCCGGGAGACAGAGTTTGCAGTGAGCTGAGATCTAGCCACTGCACTCCAGCCTGGGCGACAGAGCAAGACTCCGTCTCAAAAAAAAAAAAAAAAAAAAATTTATACAGGCCTTGTGGCCTTGTGGCGGGCGCCTGTAGTCCCAGCTACTCGGGAGGCTGAGGCAGGAGAAGGGCATGAATGGGGGAGACGAGATCACGCAACTGCACTCCAGCCTGGGCAACAGAGCAAGACTCCATCTCAAACCAAAAAAAGAGAAATCACACTTTCGAGTATCAGGAGCAAAACCAGGTGATAATAGCCTGTCAGTTCGGTTACTCGGAACAGCTTTGCTCCTTATAATGAATTCAGCAGTTCCTATAGTTGGCCAGAGCTGGGCTCTCTCTTAGAGGGGAAAAGCAGTGGTGAGTCCACAGGGAATGCTATTTGCATTTCTAGTAACAGTGTGATGGGGGAGGAGATGGCAGGAGAAAAGCCGGTGAGTCAGAAATTACTTCATTCCACTCGGTTCTCTTCTGTTCTAGCTAAGTTTGGTGCGAACGCCATTCTGGGGGTGTCCCTCGCCGTCTGCAAAGCTGGTGCTGTTGAGAAGGGGGTCCCCCTGTACCGCCACATCGCTGACTTGGCTGGCAACTCTGAAGTCATCCTGCCAGTCCCGGTGAGTGGTTTATTGGAACTTCCCAAGCAAGGAGTTGGGGGTTTCAGCTTGCTCTTGGGGACCAAGACCTCCTGTGCCTTGATCTCTTAACACATGTGACTCTCCCAGCACAGCTCTGCCCCTTGTTAAGTGTGACCTTGAGCAGGTAATTCAACTTGCCTGTGCCCCAGGTCCTTCATTTGCAGTGGAGGCTCGGGTAGGAAATGACAGCAGTACTTTCCTTGCTAGGCTGTGAGCATTAGCTGACATAGTCACTAGCGTTTCTCCTGATGATCATGAATTTGCAGTTATCAAAATAGACCTGGTATGAACTGGTTGCAGTAGTGCACACCTGTAGTCCCAGCTAATCAAGAGGCTGAGGCAGGAGGATCACTTGAGCCCAAGAGTTTGAGACCAGCCTGGGCAAGACCAGTATAGTCAGATCCTGTCTCTAAAAACATGAGTCAGAGACCTGGTGAGCATTTCATGGCCACCCTGACCCCACTGATGCTCCTCAAGGAGCAAGTCTTGGGCTCATCTGTGAACTAGATGGGGATGGTAGGACCAGAGGGGCCTGTTGCCCTGTGGGGCTCTCTGGGCCCGGTGCCATGCTTCTCTGTTCTCTCCCCAGGCTTTCAATGTCATCAATGGCGGTTCTCATGCCGGCAACAAGCTGGCCATGCAGGAGTTCATGATCCTCCCAGTCGGTGCAGCAAACTTCAGGGAAGCCATGCGCATTGGAGCGGAGGTTTACCACAACCTGAAGAATGTCATCAAGGAGAAATACGGGAAAGATGCCACCAATGTGGGGGATGAAGGCGGGTTTGCTCCCAATATCCTGGAGAATAAAGAAGGTAAAGGCGCTGGGGAATCCCCACCCACCCACCCAGCCCTGCAGCACCAACTCCCTCTGTGCAGGGGTTGTCCACACCTGCCTCTGTGGAAAAGGTTTTCATTCCACCTGTAGTTTGTAAAGATCAAGACCCTTCAAACAGGGTTTTAAGGAGGGAAAGGGGAGCTTCATTTGATTTTACTTATTTTTTTCTTTGAGACGGAGTCTCTGTCGCCTGGGCTGGAGTGCAGTGGCGCAATTTCTGCCTCCTGGGCTCAAGCAATACCTAATAGCTTGGGGAGCCAGGTGTCTGTCCATCTGTCCTGCTGGCAGGACAGCTTAGCCATGGATGGCAGACCCTGAGCCTGAACTCTCAACAGCACAGCCTGGCAGGAGGATCCTGCCACCCAGGGCTGCCTCCACTGGGCTTTCTCTTGGATCCCGCTTCACCTCTATTTAAGGCCTGTGTCTTGAGACAGCTGATCTCAGCTGGTTACTGTAACTGTATCTTGGCCAGGACAGCTGTTCCTGGGCACTAAATTTGGGAGCATTTGTCAGGGAGAAAGGCTACTTTCTTGGAAGCTGTGCTGAATTTCCCATTTAGTCTACACCAGGAGCTCTGGCCCATGGTTTCTTGCCCCAAAGCAGAAAAAAAGTAACTGACGTTGTTGAAACTACTGGTTGGGGCCTGAACACCTCTTGACCTTTGTGTTACAGTCCATGTGTAACAGCTGTTGAAGGGAACCTACCTGTTTTCCAAACCTGTTGCCACCATCTCTTCCCAGGCCTGGAGCTGCTGAAGACTGCCATTGGGAAAGCTGGCTACACTGATAAGGTGGTCATTGGCATGGACGTAGCAGCCTCCGAGTTCTTCAGGTCTGGGAAGTATGACCTGGACTTCAAGTCTCCCGATGACCCCAGCAGGTACATCTCACCTGATCAGCTGGCTGACCTGTACAAGTCCTTCATCAAGGACTACCCAGGTGAGTGTTCCTGGAGTGCCATCTTCCTTTCCTGCCACTGACCTGTAGCATGGCAGCTGGAGCATCTGGCTGGCTGGGGATGGGGAGGGTGTGTCTGAACCTCTGGCTCCCGTGGGGGATTCATCAGGGGGCTTCCCCCCAGTTGTACGTACACAGGGCTTCACAGAGGTTCTTGTGTAGCTAAGGAGCTCAGGTGCCAGCAGCGGTCTGTGCTCCATTAGACAGGCGAGGGAACCAAGCCTTCAGAATTAGAATAGCCACTTGTTAGAGATGTATTATGCTTCCTGTGAGCTGGGAATATTCATTTTAGGCTCTGTGTGTACACAGGATAGGGACTGTGACTTCTACAGGAGAGGAAACTGATGGGCTGGTTGAATAATCTGCCCGAGAGCACACAGCAAATAGTGGGGCAAGAATTCAGACCAGGAAATCTGACTGCAGAGTCTGTGCATTTAACCACTACCCTAAACAACTTAGTCAAGGTTGAGCCAAGACCCAAACTCAGGTCTTTTCACTTCTGAGTCTTTGGCTCCATTCTGATTTTCAGTGGCACTAAACTCAAACCACCCTAGACAAATAAGTGTTCTCTTCTTATATAGGTCTTAAAAAGTTTTTTTGAGACTGGGCATATAGTGGCTTACGCCTGGAATCCCAGCGCTTGGAGAGACTAAAACGGCATCACTTGAACCCCAGGAGTTTGAGATCAGCCTAGTGAACATAGCAAGACTTCATTTCTGCAAAAAAATTAAAATAAGTAGCTGAATGGGTGGGAAACCCCTGTAGTCCCAGCGACTCAGGAGGCTGAGGTGGGAGAATCATTTGATCCCGGGATTTCGCAGCTACGGTTAGCTATGATTGCACCTCTGCACTCAAGCCTGGGTGACAGAGTGAGATTTTTTGTTTTAGATCTATTGACCCAGGATTGTGGGTGACTTGTCCCCTGCTGCAGGAGTAGGTTGGTGGGGCACATTGTTTCAAGGATCAGTTGGGGAGCCATCCCTGTCCTATAATTTTGGGCAGTGTGAGGCCAGGCGAGCAGCAAGTCTAGGGGGAAGCAAGGCTGGGCGTTGCAGAGGAGCACACTGGGAGGATCACACTGATGAGGCGTGTACCTCCTCTCCTTAGTGGTGTCTATCGAAGATCCCTTTGACCAGGATGACTGGGGAGCTTGGCAGAAGTTCACGGCCAGTGCAGGAATCCAGGTAGTCGGGGATGATCTCACAGTGACCAACCCAAAGAGGATTGCCAAGGCCGTGAACGAGAAGTCCTGCAACTGCCTCCTGCTCAAAGTCAACCAGATTGGCTCCGTGACCGAGTCGCTTCAGGCGTAAGTGTCTTCCCAGGCAAGCAGCTTTCCCGCAGCTACGGCTTGTGAATCAGAAAAGGGCCCTTTTGTTCTGTCGATGGGGAATCCTGCTGGCCAGAATGTAGGACACCTTGGGATTTTAACAGGTTTTGTGTTTGAACTCGGGACCCTTTTAAATTACAGGCCCAAAATGTTGGACCTGTAATCCCAACGTTTTGGGAGGCCAAGGCAGGAGGATCACTTGAGCTCAGGAGCTCAAGACCAGCCTGGGCAACATAGCAAGCAGATGTATTCTGTGAAGAGCTCAGTCAGAGAACACTAGTCTTTCTCCCATCAAGGGAGGCTGAACCCAGTGTTTCAACTATGAAGAGGGCTAAGAAGGTCCTGGGGGTGGAAGAGTTCAGAGGAGGGTGAGGGTTGTCCTCTGTGCTCTTGACAGAGCCCAGGCATGGAGAGCCTTAGCCATTAACAGCCCCTCCACTGCTTTCCTGCTGGCACCGAGGGGTAATGGCATTGGGGTTTGTGGCACCAGAAAATGGGCTCATGCCATCCAGGTTGTCTCTTGGCTTCTAGGTGCAAGTTGGCCCAGGCCAATGGTTGGGGCGTCATGGTGTCTCATCGTTCTGGGGAGACTGAAGATACCTTCATTGCTGACCTGGTTGTGGGGCTGTGCACTGGGCAGGTAAGAATGAGCGTCTCCTCCTTTCTTCTCTCTGACCTCAACTTGCTGGAAGACCCAAAACCAGCGAAGATCCGTGTCTGTCCCTGTTTTGCTCATGTCCGCTGAGTTGTTGTCCTGGTTTCTGAGCCTGAACAGAATGGGGGCATGAGGGCCCTGCTTGTATGTTGTAGCCCCTCCTTTCCTAGGCTCAGATCCTCTAGAAATTCTCTCTCTGACATCACACCCTCTCCCTGCCAGAAATGCCTGCAAAGCCTGTCCACTATAAGCAAATGGCTTTTCTTTTCTCCTAGATCAAGACTGGTGCCCCTTGCCGATCTGAGCGCTTGGCCAAGTACAACCAGCTCCTCAGGTAAGGAGGGCTCTGGAGAACAAGGGGCCTGTGGTTCACCCGCTGGGGCTGCACTCAGTGTAGGCACTGCCCTCCCCCAGGAGCTCCTGGCTCTGGGAACAGGTACAGGGGCAGGCGCACAGTGCAGCCAGCCAGGCCCTGAGCAGGCCTAGACCCCAACCCCTGCAGTGCCATCAGAGGCAGAAACCTCCTCCGCACAGTGCTGCCCTCTTCCCGTAAGAGAGATTGGGACCCCCTTTGACAGCTGATCCATGACTTTCTTAGAGCTTTCAGAGAGCCCCTTCATGATCTGTTTCAGCACATTTAACCGTTTTGGATATGGAGCCAGGGCTTGGAGAGAGGAGGAAAAAGTCAAAGGGCACATGGCTGGGTTTCCACTTCTCAGTGCTGTGGGGCTGTTCTGGTCTCCCTTTCCTGTCTGTGTCCTTGAGAAGCCCCTGAACACCAGGAGACTTGTCCCCCGGTCCCCCCGCCACCCACTTTTTGTTTTTGTTTTTGTGTTTTTGAGATGAGGTCTCGCTCTGTTGCCTAGTCTGGAGTGCGATGGTGCGACCTCGGCTCACTGCAGCCTCCGCTTCCCAGGTTCAAGCAATTCTCCCACCTCAGCCTCCCGAGTAGCTGCAATTACAGGCGTACCACCACACCCAGCTAATTTTTGTAATTTTTAGTAGAGATGGGGCTTCACCATGTTGGCCAGGCTGGTCCCGAACTCCTGACCTTGGGTGATCCGCCCACTTCAGCCTCCCAAAGTGCTGGGATTACAGGCGTGAGCCACTGTACCCGGCCAATAATATAATATACCACTCCCCCACTGACTCAGGCACCACTGGGATACAAACCCCCTTTTTAGTTATTTTCTGGACTTGTAGGGAAACAGAACACCCATTTCCTAAGTTCTCCCCTATTACCCCTTCATTAAAACTGTATCCTGGGAATTTTCATACACACACAAAGAAGCAGGTGAACAGTAGACACAGGGCTTTTTTGTTATTTTGTTTGTTTGAGACAGGGTCTTGCCATGTCACTCAGGCTGGAGTGCAGTGGGGCAGTCATAGCTTCAGACTTCCATTCTTTTTTGCTGCGGAATTTTATTTATTTGTATTTTTTTGAGACGGATCTCGCTCTGTCGCCCAGGCTGGAGTGCAGCGGTGCAATCTTGGCTCACTGCAACCTCTGCCTCCCAGGTTCAAGCAGTTCTCCTGTCTGAGCCTCCGAAGTAGCTGGGATCACAGGTGCCCACCACCATGCCTGCCTAATCTTTTTTGAATGTTTAGTAGAGACGGGGTTTCACCATATTGGTCAGGCTGACCACAGGTGATCCTCCCACCTTGGCCTCCCAAATCTGGCTTCTCAGAGAAGCACAAGTTTAGAGGGTTTGAAGAAGGTGGACAGATTCTGTGTTCTCAACTTCCCAGGAGTGGGGCTGTGTCTGACCACATCTAGGATGGGAAAACTTACAACTTGAGGTCTGACTTTTCTTTTTTCCTCCCCATCTTTTTATCTTTCTCCTTCCCAAGAATTGAAGAGGAGCTGGGCAGCAAGGCTAAGTTTGCCGGCAGGAACTTCAGAAACCCCCTGGCCAAGTAAGCTGTGGGCAGGCAAGCCCTTCGGTCACCTGTTGGCTAAATAGACCCCTCCCCTTGTGTCAGCTCGGGCAGCTTGAGGCCCCGACCAACGCTTGCAGGGGTCCCTGCTAGTTAGCGCCCCTCACCCGCCGCCGTGGAGTCCGTGCCGCTTCCTTAGAACTTCTACAGAACCGAGCTCCCCGGAGCCCTGTTTGGCAGCTCTAGCTTTGCCGTCGTGTAATTGGCCCAAATCACTGTTTTTCTCGCCTTACTTTCCACCAAGTGTCTGGAGTCATGTGAGCCTCGTGTCATCTCCGGGGTGGCCACAGGCAAGATGCCTGGTGGTTTTGTGCTTAAAATAAAAAGCCTCAGTGACCCATGAATACTCCGTGTGCCTGTGTATGTTTGGAACAATCTGGGTCTGTCCTTCATGTTCAGGGGGCCTGGCGAAAGGGTGTTGGCCTTTGAGAACTAAGGTTTGGTGTCGTAACAGCAAGGGATGAGGATCCATTGAGGACATTTTCCTGGGTCCTTGGGAAGGGAACTAGAGGCAAAGGCAAGAAAAGAGACATACGCGGTCCCTCTAGGGTAGTGGGGTCACAACAGGGAGTCTAAGCTGGGAGGCAGAGCGAGACACCTTGTTTGGAAGAAACTTCAAATGCAGGCCTATTTGTAGATTATCTTAAGGATGGTAGCTGCTAGGTTACACAGCCATATTGTTCAGACCAGAAAGACTCCAGGGTGAAGGTGACCATCCTGGGAAGAGCTGGCATAGGGTCTCTTCCTGGGGAAAGCAGGTGAAAGAAGGATTAAAAGGGAACTCTGGGCAGGAAGGTAGAAGGGCATCGAGAAGACCCCAGGACCTGATTTGAATGAGTGAATTCCACTCCTCGGTTTCTCGAGCTTCGGGTTTCAGGTGCTCCGAAGCTGTCATTTGTAGCTGGTGCTGCTGCATTGGATTATGCAGATGGAAAACTTGCATGTTGGAGAAAGTACTGTTCTAGGGTAATGCTGAACACAGGGTGCGGAGAATACGTTTATTTAAAAGTGAGAGAGATAAAGCCAGGTGTGGTGGGTGGCTCATGCCTATAATCCCAGCACTTTGGGAGGCCAGGGCAGACGGATCTCCTGAGGTCAGAAGTTCAAGACCAGCCTGGCCAATATGGCAAAACCCCGCTTGTACTAAAAATACAAAAATGAGGCTGGGTGCAGTGGCTCGCACCTGTAATCCCAGCACTTTGGGAGGCTGAGGCTGCTGGATCACAAGGTCAGGAGTTCGAGACCAGCCTGGCCAATATGGTGAAACCTTGTCTCTACTAAAAAATACAAAAATTAGCCAGGCATGGTGGCAGACGCCTGTAGTCCCATTTACTCATGAGGCTGAAGCAGGAGAATCACTTGAACCCAGGAGGCGGCAGTTGCCGTGAGCCGAGATTGCGCCACTGCATTCCAGCCTAGGTGACAGAACAAGACTCCGTTTCAAAAGAAAATAAAAAATTAGCCGGGTGCAGTGGCATGTGCCTGTAATTCTAGCTACTCAGGAGGCTGACGCATGAGAATCGCTTGAACCCAGGACATGGAGGTTGCAGTGAGCCAAGATCACACCACTGTACTTCACCCTGGGCAACAGAGTGAGACTCCATCTCAAAAAAATAAAAATAAAAGAGGTGAGAAACTGGTTGCCATCTGCACCTTGAAGAGGTCTCATTCTATTACTTGATTTTTCTCCTTAAAACAAGTATCTTAAGTTGCACGTTCCAATGCACAGTCAGGGATCTGGGGAGCCCTCTTGTGGACATTCTTGTTCATTTTTTATCTCAGGATTTAACCTGAGAAACAGAACCAGTAAGGGGAGGTACGGATATTAAGAATTGATGGCCTGGTGCAGTGAGTGGTTCATGCCTGTAATCCCAACACTTGGGGAGGCTGAGGCAGGAGGATCACTTGAGCTCAGGAGTTCAAGACTGGCCATGTGCAACATGGCAAGACCCTGACTCTTCAAAAAATAGAAAAGTTAGCCGGGCATGTCGGCGTGGTCCCAGCTACTCAGAAGGCTGAGGCCAGAGGATTGCTTGAGCCCAGGAGGTCAAGGCTGCCGTGAGCCAAAATCGCACCACTGCACTCCAGTCTGGGTGACAGAGTGAGAGCCTTTCTCAAAAATAATAACTGGCTTCTGTGATTGTGGAGCCTGGGTAAGCATGTCTGAAATTCACAGGGCTGCCCGTTGGGAAGGGATGATGGCCAGCAGCGGGCTGGAACTCCAGGGGCTTGGGTGAAGCTACCATTTCACAGGTGAAATTTCTGTCTTGAAACCTCGGCTTTGAAGACCACCTCACTGGCCGGGCACAGTGGATTACACCTGTAATCTCAGCACTTTGGGAAGCTGAGGTGGGTGGATCACCTAAGGTCAGGAGTTTGTGACCAGCCTGGCCAAGATGGCAAAACACAGTCTCTACTAAAAATACCAGAAAAATTAGCCTGGAGTAGTGTGTGCCTGTGGTCCTAGCTACTTGGGAGGCTGAGATAGGAGAATTGCTTGAACCTGGGAGGTGGAGGTTGCAGTGAGCTGAGATTGCGCCACTGCACTCTAGCCTGGGTGATGGAGTGAAACTGTCTCAAAAAAAATAAAAAACACCTCGTTTATGGAGTTGGGCAGATCTAGAGTAATTAGGATAATTCCTCAGCATCTACTTATTAGTAACTTTGATTACTTCTGCAGCATAGCTTCACAGTAATACCTGGATTAGTATTTGATTGAATAACTGGTGACTTGTGAAATTGACATATCAAAGCCATTGTGGTTCCCCCCTTGTCAGCTCTACACCCATATACATTTCCTTAAACTATACTTAATCGCCAGATGATGACCGTAACAAAGTCATTCTCCTGCCTAACTTAATGCAATCATCCCACGTAAAACCCCAGACACTAACCCTTTCCAGGTTTTCATGACCGGTATCTGAGAACTGATCCTGGAAGGAAGTAAATCATGGAACTGGGTCTGACGGTTACTGGCATGTTCTACATCTTGTTTATCTCAACTCGAAGGCCTCGAGTTTGCATGAGTATTTTTCAGTTTGGTTTAATGTCAACATTTCCTGACTGTGAGGTAAACCTCATTTATCACTCTTGAGGTTAGATGGCAAACACAGGTAGACAGGACCCCTTCCAGTCGGCACCACCCTGAAAGGAGGCTGCTGGACTGGGGTTGGAGCTATTTCCATTGCAGGCTGGACTGAGCGGTTTACCACATTGACCCCGGAGACACAGAGGCCCCAAATAAGGAAAGCCAACTGTGACTAAACTTCCTGACTCAGCAGAAACGAAGCACATTCCTGACGCTGACTGGCAGATGTGAGCCGAGCAGAAGTGCAGACCTCTGGGTCCTTTCCTGTGGAGCCCGTCTGAAGCAGGACAGGCAGCATGAATACGTTTCGAGAAAGCCATTCTCAGTGAAACATTTAAGATAGGTCTGGAGTTAGCCTGGGCTGAAAAAAAAAAAAAAACTATTTATATATAGAGAGTTCGGTTTTGTTTTATTTTGTTTTTTCTGAGACAGCATCTCACTGTGTCATCCAGGCTAGAGTACAGTGGCATGATCTCAGCTCACTGCAACCTCCACCTCCTGGATTCAAGTGATTCCCGTGCCTCAGCCTCCAGAGTAGCTGGGATTACAGGCCTGCACCACCACGCCCAGCTAATTTTTGTATTTTTAGTAGAGACAGGGTTTCACCATGTTGGCCAGGCTGGTCTTGAACTCCCGACCTCAGGTGATCTGCCCGCCTTGGTCTCCCAAAGTGCTGGGATTACAGGCGTGCGCCACTGCGCCCAGCTGAAAATAATAGTAAAAGAGTAGCTGGGCGTGGTGACATGGCCCCTGTAGTCTCGGCTACTCAGGAGGCTGAGGTGGAGAGACTGCTTGGGCCCAGGAGTTGTGAACTGTGATCACTCCAGCCTGGGCAGCAAAGCGAGAGCCTGTCTTCAAAAAAAAGGTAAATTGAAAGTTTAAAGCAATGATTCTGAAACGTGGTCACATTAGAATCACCTGGGAGGCTTCTGAAGCTTCTATAGCAGGACTCGCCCCAGGTCAATTAATTCAGAACCTCCGGGTGGAGCCCAAAGCATCAGTATTTTTTAGAGAACCCCCAGCGGACTCCGGTGTGCAGCCAGACTTGAGAACCACCTGGTGTAACAAGTAAATGAATTTCAGAGGTGGTGATAACAGGGCAGGGCTAGAATGCCAAGCTTTCAAGGACACAATGAGAGGCAGCCAGGCTTTCCCTAAAAAGCCCAAAGTCCTGGTAATTTTCATTTGAATGAATGCAGCCGAGGCAGGAAGGTGGCCTCTGAATGCCACCAACACAGTCCACGGGGCTGTTGTAGGAGCCTGCTTCTTAGCAATGTGTTCCCTACTAGGGCCTGTAGATGCATCCACACCAGCTGTCCCCGAAGCAGCAGGTTCCCAGCACCCGCTCCCCGATAGCAGCCACGGTGCAGGCAGCAGTGTCAGAGAACACAGAGCCAGGCTGTGTGACTCTGGATTCTGGCTTTTCCCCCGACTGTGCTTCAGTTTCTCCAGCCATAAAAGGGGGCTAAAAACACAACGGTACGACCACTCAAGGATGAGCACGCATAGTACTATAAATGATCACACTAACTCGGGCTCCCGTGTGGAATACAATGATTCAGCTGAACAGTCAGGTGCCGATATACTTAGATAAGAAGAGGTGCAGGACATAGGGAAGGGGAGGAAGGTGTTTCGGCCTGTAATCCCAGCACTTTGGGAGGCTGAGGTGGGTGGATCACTTGAGGCCAGGAATTCGAGACCAGCCTGGCCAACATGGCAAAACCCCATCTTTACTAGAAGTATAAAAATTAGATGGGTGTGGTGGTGTGCGCCTGTAATCCCAGCTACTTAGGAGGCTGAGGCACGAGAATCACTTGAACCTGGGAAGTGGAGGTTGCAGTGAGCCAAGATCGTGCCATTGCACTCCAGCCCGGGCGATAGAGTGAGACCCTTACTCAAAAACAAACAAACAAACAAACAAAAAAAAAAAAAAAAAACCCTTGTAAATTGATTCTAGGTCCCAACACTTCTCCTTGGGCTTCTGTGAGTTTCCCATTCCCAATTCCCTTTTCTGTTTAATTAGCTTTATTGAGGTATCATTGACATTCAGTAACAGATGTCCATTTGAAGTGTATGGTGTGTGTATTAGTCTGTTTTCATACTGCTATAAAGAACTGCCCAAGACTGGGTAACTTTTTTTTTTTTTTTTTTTTTTTTTTTTTTTTTGAGACGGAGTCTCACTCTGTCGCCCAGGCTGGAGTGCAGTGGCTGGATCTCAGCTCACTGCAAGCTCCGCTTCCCGGGTTTACGCCATTC